GCGCCCCTCCTGCTGCCCGTGCGCAGGGCGGCGCCAGTGCCCCCGCCGCCGGGGCCGGGGAGCCCGCGCTCCGGGGTCAGTGCGGGCGGGGGGTCAGTCAGAGCGCCGGGTCTTGCAGGATCCTGCAGTGCTGAGGTCGGGCCCGTCCCTCTCTACAGGCGGAGTCTCCAAAGCAGTCAAGCAATAGGCTGGGGACCATCTTTTTGGTATCTGTTCTTGACCATTTGGGGGTATTTTTGGAACATTCTGTATTGTTCGTCGAAGGTCCCCCTGTAGGGGGACACGCCCGACTCAGCGCAGTGCCCGGGGCGCACGGGCCCGGGCCTGCTTGCAGGGCCGGGCAGGACCTCGCTGGCTCCTTTGCAGAGCCCGACGGGCCCGGGTCGGCGAGTGCCCGAGGCACGAGGCAGATAGGGGTCCCGAGGGAGACGGGCCCTGGGCCCCTGACCCAGGAGCAGGAGGAGGAGGAGGAGGAGGAGGCGGATTGTATTGCTCTTCACTACGAACCACGACCACACCAGCGCGGTGACCGACGCCCTCCAAGCCACCGCAGACAGACACAGTATCTCCATCGAACTCCACCACCTGCCAACCATGCACCCACCCCAAACTGACCCAACGGCTTCCGACATGGCCACGACACCATACGACCACGCTGCCTTCTGCATCATCGACGCCGACCTCACGACCTTCGACCGCGACCTCAACCTCAGGACGCAAGAGGCACCGTGGGGACGACTGGATCTCACACCCACGCAGCACAGAGCGGTACGACAAGACAACGACAGCATGCGGCACGTCCTACGGACCGCACAGCGGATGATGATGATGAGCATACCGACCATCATCCTGGACAGCAGCCTCCGACACCTGCAGATACAGGAATATGCATACATCACAACGACGTGCAGCACAACCCTGACCACAGCATTCACTGCTTGCAACTGCCCTGCAGACATCACCATGACTACGACACTGACGCAGGCCATAGAGCAAACACTCCACCCCACCGCCGACGCATACACAAACGCACAGACGTGGCACTACGATGGACAGGACGGCAACGACTGCTGGATGTCAGAACGCCCAGGCGCGGTGCTCCTCGAGCCGCGACCTGGACAGTACGGTGGCCAACTGTCGGCGGAGGAGAACCAGAAGGAGCTGTCGTCTACTACTGCAGGTTCTTCAACACCCGTCGGCACGCACTGCTCACCTCCCCAGCCCACGGGGCGCTTGGGAGGTAGGCATAGTCCACCTCCCCAGCCCATGGGGCGCTTGGGAGGCAGAGGGTACCGACCGACGGGGGCCACCTGGGCGACAACAACGGGGGCTGCACCAACCACGGCGGCCCCCAGAGCTACAACACTGGCGGGCACCACCCCACGGAGTACAGGTTGGTGATCACCCCCTCGCGGTGAGCGTGCCGGCCCCCAGGAACGGACCTGGGGGTGCTGGCGGCCGCGAGGGGGAAGAGGTCTCCTTCAACTCATGACACCTGGGCCCGTGGGCCGCCCCGCCACCCCACCTAGTAGGTTGTGGGCCCCCCTCCGCTCCTTCCACCGGCCTCATTAAGGTTTTTGCTCTCTCCTGTTGGGGGGGGGGGGCCCACAATCCTACAAATATAATTCGTTCCCCCCCACCACCACCTCCGCGTCTTTCGAGCGAGGAGGAGTACGTACTCCACTATGGAGGTGGTGGTCGGGGGGAGGCGGGCCTAGCACAAAGCTAAGCGCGCCCTTGCTGCCCTCCACCTCGACCCCTCCCCCCCCCCCTTTCAGAGGCCCTGGAGGCACCTCATTCCCCTTCCCCTTCTTCGGTCGGGGGGGGGGGCCCGAGGACCCCTGAGGCCCCTGCCCCCTCGGAGGCTTTTCGAGGCGCTCGGAGATTTCTGGGGACTTCGGAGGCCTTCCGTCGCGACGGAGCGCCGGCCGCGGCCGCTTAGGCCCGCGGCGCGGCGCGGGGCTACGGCGACTGGACCGCCTTGCCCGCAGTGCCGCAGGAGGAGGGCTCCAAGGAAATGAGGAGGAGGGAGAGGAGGAGGAGGAGGAAGGAGGGGGAGGGGGGGGCGGAGGAGGAGGAGGAGGAGGAGTGCAGGAGGATGAGGATGAAGGGAGGAGGGAGGAGGGAGGATAGAGGAGGAGGAGGAGGGGTAGGAGGAGGAAGACGGAGGGGCGGAGAGAGGGAGGAGAGGAGGGGGGAGGATGAGGAGGAGGAGGAGGAGGAGGAGGGGCCGTCGACGGGCAGGCTCGGGGGCCGACGCGCTGGGGGCCGACGCGCGTCTTGGAGGCCACTGGCAGGCCTCCTCGGAGGGCGGCGGGGTTTCTCGGAGGCCCCCGCCCCTCCCGGAGAGTCCTGCCCAGAGATCCAACGCATTGAAAAATCAAGACGGAGGTTTTTTGCTGTTTTCGGCCCTCGGTGGCCTTCGCCGGGCCTCGGGACCGTCAAAAAACGACTCAGGAGGAAAAGCCGGCCCTGGGCAAAGGGTCGGGGCTTCCCGGGGCCCCGTGTTGAACAAATCACGACGTCGGATCTCTGGGGAGGAGGAAACGGCACCCCCACCGCTGCCCTTCGCCCGTTGTCCGCCGTTTTCGGCGTCCTGGGAGACTCTCCGTCGCCACCGCTGGATTCGCTTCGAGGTCCTAGGCAGAGCGCGCCCCAGGAGAGGGCTGGGGAGCAGCGGTGTTGGTAACTCTGTGCGTGTCCCCAGGGGGAGACGGGTCCTGGGCACCCCCGCCCCCCGAGGGCCAGCGCATCCCCAGACATGCGACGTCCTGCCTTTTTCTGCGCGGCCTCCCTTGTGGAAGTCGATAAATGGAGAGGAAGCATGCTGCCAAATAATTTCCAGCTGTTTTAAACATGTTTCAAACATAGTTTGAACATGTAAAACATGTTTGCTTTTTCTGTTCTATATATATATGTTTACATAACATATACATGTCAAACACTGATTTCATTCAATGATCGGATTGTTAGAGTGTCCATTGTCATGGCATCCCCCGAGAAGTCCAGACCCGTTCCCCAGGGTCTGTTTTTCATCCCGAGTCGTTTTTTTGTTGACGGCCCAGGGGCCCGGCGAGGGCACCCCCCGGGCAGAAAATTGCGAAAACCGCGCGTCTTGATTTTTTGTACGACGCGATCGATGAAACCAACGAATCTTAAGCTGTCGATGCGCAATTCTTTAATGTCTGGCTCTAGTTCATAACGATGAGTGACTTCTGGATTCGAGCCTCGGCGGCTTTGGAAGCGCAGAACACGTATGCCTGTACACGGGCTTTCCTGCGGCAGACCACGCGGGGATCTCTCGGAAACATGCGCTTTGCCGGCGCGGCAAGCTTTGCAGAAGGCCCCCCCCGCGCGCGCCTTTGGAGGATCCGTCCAGGGCCCTCCTCCTCCTCCTCCTCCTCCTCCTCCTCCTCGTCCTCCTCCTCCTCCTCCTCCTCCTCCTCCTCCCCCTCCTCCTCCTCCTCCTCCTCCTCCTCCTCCTCCTCTTCCTCCTCCTCCTCGTCCTCCTCCTCCTCGTCCTCCTCCTCCTCGTCCTCCTCCTCCTCCTCCTTTTCCTCCCTCCTCCTCCTCCTCCTCCTAGCCGTTGTGGTTCAGGCGTTGTGCCTGCGCTTGCAGCAGCTTCTCTTCACAACGGCATATAGCTGCTGCGAGCCAGATTGGCTCGTGTGGTTTCCTTTCAGTTCGCGGGATCTCAACCCACACGCTTTCACGATTAACTCTTCGGCCAGGCCATGGCGAGGAAGGGCGGAGGCGGCAAAGGTGTGGTCTCATGGGTGCCGTGGCACCGCAGTTGGTCGCAGCCCCCTCCGCCCGATGGAGGAAGGACGGGCAAAGGCGCTGTCCGCCCGCCGAGGCCCCGCGACCCCAAGGTCTGGCCCCCGCTCGTCCCTGGCCTTCAAGACCATGGTGGTGATGGTGGAGGCGGTGCTCCTCATGCTGCTCCTTCCCGCTGGGAATGTTTGCTGTGTGGATGTCGCCGCAACGAGCACCGCTTCTACTACTGCAAACACAGTGGTGGCCTCAAGTCGGAGTCTACATACCTCAGTGGCGCATGGGCTTCGGGGAAATCGCCCCTCGAGCTCTTCAAGAGCACTCAGGCCGGTGGAGGCAAAGGTGCCGTCGGCAAGGGCTCGGCTGGTGACGAAGGCTCGAACACTACGGCGTCTGCTCCGTCTTCAAAACTCTCTGTGGAGGAATATCTGCAGATGGCCGCTTTGTGCGAGAAGGCAGGCGACCTCCACGGTGCTCGAGGCTACAGGACATCGGCTCAGTCGCGTCAGGCGCCAGAGCAGCACCAGGTCCCCCTGCAGACGAAGTTCAACCGTGCCCACCAGCAGGCTCGTGCAGTGGAGAAGAAACTCAACAGTGCCATGGACCGTTTCGAACAGCTCGAACAGCAACTGGCAGCGCAGAAGTCCCACGTGCTTCAGCTCAGGGCGGATTTGGAAGCCGTGGAGGCAGAGCACAGCGGCCTGGTGCGTCAGCTGCACAATCAGCTCCCAGACGGTCAATCGCAGCCAGCAGCTGGCGCTCCAGGCAACAAGCTCAGCCTCGAAGACTTGCTGGATGAGCGGCGCTTCTCGGCGGCCTTCGACCTCGACGTGGGAGATTGCTTCAATATTGTTGAGGATGAGGAATCACTCTCGCCTGAAGAACTACAGCAGTTATCGGCGCGAGGGGATCTCTTCAAGTCTGGCATCTCGGACATGGCAAAAAATGTTCGCAGAAGCGAAGGCCGGGGTCGATGAGCTCAAAGCTGAACATAAGCAGTTGGCAGCGAGGATGGCAGCCAAGAAGCGTCGCACAGGAGAGCAGGGTCAAGGTGTCTCAGGTGGAGATGCAGCTCCTCACGCCCAAGGTGCTGCGTCGCAGCCCGACGACGGCTCGGCGCCTGCTGGCGCGGAGGCGGCTACATCAACGGCTACTGCTCCGACAGCTTCGGGTCCTTCGGCGGCGTCGTCTACCCCTTCCAGGCCGAGTGCGATGACGAGGGCTGATAGGATCGCTGGCAAGGCTTCTGAGGCTGTCCCCCCCTGGAGGAACCTAGATATCCTGGGCA